ATACCAAATCATTTTCCTTCCAAGTCTATCACTATCATTAGAAGGGATACTTTTTTTTTTCTTTTCAAAATTTCAAACCCATTATATATATTTGCACATTAATTCTGAACATCTGTTCCAACATTTTTCCAGAAAAATATCAAGATTATAGTCCATGATTTGAATAAACATTTTAAAGCCCATCCAACTAGGTTATTTCCACCAGAGCTCAAATTTAATAAAACAGCAATTCTTTATAATGACCAAGAGCTCAATATTTTTTGTAACATACCTTGATCTCTTTTTCAAATGGTTTGATAAAAGGTGAGCCTCTCATTGTCTGAGTTTTTATAATTTGATCATCAAGGATAGCCTGAATCTCATCCACTGAAGAAAGAATACAAACTCCAGTATCACGATAAGGGCTTATATGAAAAGAAATATCATCCCAAGCCCCTATCATTGTATGCATGGCTTTCTCTAATGAAAATTCCTAGAAGGAAGGAAAGAACATAGAATGGGATAGTGGAATAAACGGTCTTATTTACTATATTGTCTCTCCATACTGAATTAAATAAGCATTTGGTACAATACACTGCTATTTTCTTAAAATAAACTGTGGCTACAGTGAAATTTCTATTAAGAAAAGTTTCAAATAATTTAACAACCCCTAATAATGACTCCAAGGCACATCACCACCACCACCACTAATAAAGAGTCCAAGGAGCATAGTGGTTATGAATCAGGCTGCGAACCACAAGGTCAGCAGTTCAAAACTATCAGCTGTTCCATGGGAGAAAGATGAGGCTTTCTGCTCCCGTAAAGATTTACAGCTTCGGAAACCCTGCACAGGGTCGCTGTGAGTCACAACCGACTCTACAGCACATAACCACCACCACCAGTAAGGAGTCCTGTTGTGGTACTGTAAGATAAGCACTAGACCGCAAGGTTGGTTTGAACTGCAAAGCCAGTGGTTCAAACCCACCAGACACTCCTTGGAAACCTAAAGAGGGTCACTATGAGTTCTAACTGGATGGCACTTAACAACAACAATAAGAATCACGCTTAGTAAAATAGAGAGTCAACAAAAAATAGGAAGACTCTCAATGAGACCGATTGCTACAGTAGTCACAACAATGGGCTCAAACAAAATGATTGGAAACATGGCATAAGAACAGGCAGTTCTTTATTCTGGTTGCTGAAAGTTGGAACTCACTCAACAGCAGCTAACAATAAGAATAATGAAGTAGCTTCTAAAAATTTACTTGCTAAAAGAACTGCTGTCAGTTTAAAAGGAACAACAGAATAAAATACCTGATGGACGTCCTCTGAAAGGTCTCTCGGCAGCCTGTAATCTGAAGATGCTTTCTATATATTTCAAGAATCCTTTCTCTGTATTTATTCTCCTAGAACACCCATATATTACATGCCACAAACATTAACATCCAGTGTTCTAAATGGAATAATTATGTGTCAAGACTAACATATCATTCACATATTTCAGAATGTGGCAGAAGAAAGATAAGGTCAAAAGAGATATTTCTAATATAGACTCAGGAAAGTAATTAAGATAGAAATGAACATTTTGTTGGGATAAAAGGGTGATCGCTTCTATCATTTGACCCCTATCTCCTCTTACTGCTATCCAGTGATACTTTGTTAACAACAACAAAACTATGACTTCTGAGGTGAATTACACTGTCATTTACTTAGGATCACCTGGGGCTACATTGTAATTTTTTTCTAATGAGAGTTGTTTTTAACAATTTCAAAATTCTGAACAAGAATCATTCCATGGTAAAGAAGAGATCAACAACAAAAAAGGAAGAACTTCAGTGAGATGGATGAAACACAGTGACTGAATCAATGAGCTCAAACATAGCAAAGATTGTGAGGATCATACAAGACTGACTGGGAAGCGTTTCCTTCACAATTAGTAACAATACATTAGTTTTTAAATATATATATATAAAATGTTTTGATTAACAAATTCATCAAATTAAGTGTTTCACTTAAGGTTTATGTTTACCTTGCTTGCACCTGCACTTATTACTTCAAATTGATCCAAGTATGGTGTAAGGTTTAATTTTAAAACTTTTCTCAGTGTAGTTCCAGAGTCTGGAGTCAAGTCATAGCCTACAATTTCTGACATTTGGTTCCAGTGACGAGGTCTCATTCCTGGATTGCACAGAATGGAGACAGTAGGAACATACTCCTAGTGGTAAAAATATAAACAATAATTGGTCATACAGTTGACTTCCTTAAAATACACATATAGGATGTTGTATATAAGGATAAAGCCTGGAAACAGTATTAAAAATAGAGTTCCTCAAATCACTGAATTTATTTCATAAAAATCCAATAAAAATCTTAATTAAGTTTGAAGGTGGATATGAAGTAACAAAAAGATTCTGAAGTTTTTCTGGAAAAAGAAAATGAACATATAAAATTGCCCTGGAGAATTATGAAAGTAAAAAAGAATGAAGGGTAAGTGTTTTATCAGATATATTAAAATAGATGGTAAACAAAAACCAAAACAATTGCTGTCTAGTCAATTCTGATTTATGGCTACACCATAAGTGTCAGAGTAAAACTGTGTTCCCAAAGAAAATGATAAAACCATGGAAATTAAAACAGCTATTATAGTCCTGGTATGGCACTGTGGGATAATGTGCTAGACTGCAAAGTCAATTTGAACTGCAAGGTCAGCAGTTCATACTCACCAGTCGCTCCTCAGAAACCCTATACAGGGTTGTTATGAGTAGGAACTGACTCGACAGCACTTAACAACAACAATTATATAATATAATAAATATACTGTTATAAATACACACACTAATACATCATGCATTAAGAAGAAAAGCCTGCATCAAATGCAATAATTTTTTTAATCTCTGATTAGTAAGATTCAGAGTTTTTAGCCATCTTGTACTTTTCTATATTATTGAACTTGGGGTATGTGTTACTCAAATCCTATAAAATAATACAGTTATTTTTGTCTGGGGATGAAAATAAAACATCCAACAGAAATAGTTAGCTCATCATTCTTGATACTGACATTAGAACATTATTGTTAAATCAGGAACAAGACAAGCATACTCATTTTTATTGCTCCTAGTCAAAATTATTACATATTTCCTTGAACAATTACTCCAATTCAAAAAATTTTATTAATTTTTACCAATAGATTATTGGATAGTATGCATCTAAATTCATTTTTCACTTCACCACTAGCCTTCTGTTTGTTTTTACTCTTTGTTCATTTCTAAAATGTATTTATTTAAAATAAAATCAATTTTTTAAGTAATATGTTCCATAGGGTAAGCCATGAACTGCAAGCCACAAGGTCAGTGATTCGAGCCCACCACATGCTCTTCAGGAGAAAGATGAGGCTTCCTGCTCCCACAAAAGATTTAAAGCCTCACAACAACAACAAGAACAACAGTCTGTGAAAGATCTGAGTTCCACAACTTCATCAGGAAAGAATGAGTCATGGATTCAGTAATAGATCAAGCTTTCAGGAGTCAGCTCTGATTTTGGTTTCAAATCTTTCCATTTTTCTTTATTGTCACATTATGGTATAAATAGGTCTACCAGATCTTCTTTTCGTTGTTCTTAAGACTCAAGAGTCTATGGATCAACTAATGAAGACATGGGCTGCGTTTGACCATGAGCTGAGAGAGAGAAGAGGAAGTGCTGGTTGGTCCGAAGTTTGGGGAAACAGGAACTCCTGAGTCCATGGACACTGACCCAGCCACAGTGGACTGGGGATGACAGTGAAGTGTCCAGCTGATATGAAGTGTGGGGAGGCATACAAGAATGCCCAAACTTGCAGATAGTACCCAACTGACATAGCTTCAATGGCTTGATGACCAGAACTCAACGAGAGTAAGATAAAGAAGTTCAATACAGAAAGTAAGTGTAAATAACTACAATTTGATGAACTCGACCTTTACTTATGGATGTAGTAGCTCAAAATACCAACCAAGAGAGAAGGAGTCTTCACATCAAGGATCAAGAATATCCCTTCAGTACACAGGGTTGATAGGGATGGGCAACTTAGACATTAGCTACCTAAATTGGGGGTGAAAGGAGTCTATAAAGGCATGAAGTGACTGGCTTACAAGTTTTCAAGAGGGAGTTTAGTTTCAGAGTGTGTCGGGGAAGGTACATCCCCACTGAATAGTTTTCATCTTGTCTACATGGATCTGGTGAAAGATGATGGGGATAGGGTTCTTTTGATTCAATAATAATTGTTATCAAGACTAATTGTGATTGTCACACCCACAAAGGTAGAAGTTTTGTAACATAAAGGATGGAGTAGTTAATCTTACATTCCAGAAACAGAGGACCCTAGAACCATCAAGAGGGAAGTGCACATGGGATCCTAAGCAGAGAAGCAGTGACACCAGAGACAGAGGCAGAGGTGATAGCATGATGAGATAGAGCAGCTGAGGACTCTAGACTCATGGAAAGAGACAGGCTGTGTGTTGGCGGGCAGGAGGCCAGCTTGCAAAATATGACCTTTGGTTGTTTAAATGATTATATATTCCTGTGTGTTTTTGTTTACATTAAAAAAAAAAGAGGGTATAGAGGCAAATACTGTTAACCAATGGTACATTAAGGGGATTGTAATCATAGCGTAGTGGCTACGAATCGGGCTGCGAACCTTAAGGTCAGCGGTTCAAAACTACCAGCTGCTCCACAGGAGAAAGATGAGGCTTTCTACTCCCGTAAAGATTTACACCCTCGGAAACCCTGAACAGGGTCGCTATGGGTCGGAACCGACTCGACAGCACTTAACA